CCATAGTGGCTGTACTAATTTGCATTCCCACCAACAGTGTAAGAGGGTTCCCTTTTCTCCACACCCTCTCCAGCATTTATTGCTTGTAGACTTTTGGATAGCAGCCATCCTGACTGGCGTATAATGATACCTCATTGTGGTTTTGATTTGCATTTCTCTGATAATGAGTGATGTTGAGCATCTTTTCATGTGTTTGTTAGCCATCTGTTACATGCACACTTTTAAACCTAATCTTTGTAGTCATCTTTTAGAAGAAAGCCATCCTTCTGTCCACACCAATCATATAAGATCTGGATTCTACAAAATGTGATGGAAATGCTCTTATTTAAGAAGCTTGAATTTTCTGTTTCCTGCCTTTTTCCCTGCAGAAGCACATGCATCCACATCCAGTCTTTCTTTTATTAAATACCCCTCTAGCCTTGACCCCCAGGTATATTGCTTGCTCCCAGCACCTTGCATTGGGCCCATTAGTCCCTTTATCTTTACTTAGTTCATAGTTCTTGTCTCTTTTTCTTGCCACTTACTGGCTTTGTGTTCAAAACCCCATTCTCACTATTGGGCCCCTTGATTTAGTGATCTATGTGGACTCTGATTTTTTTTTTTTTAAACTGAGGTTTGAGTGATTTACAGTGTTGTGTTAATTCCTGCTATATAGGAAAGTGACTCAATTATATATGTATATATACATTCTTTTTTTGTATTCTTTTCCATTGTGGTTTATCTCAGGATATTGAATATAGTTCCCTATGCTGTATGGGACTTTATTGTTTATCTATTCTATACGTAACAGCTTGCATCTGCTAACTCAACCTCCCAATCCATCCCTCCCTTACCCCACCCCTTTCTTTGATTTTTTTTTTTTTTTTTAAATCAGCGTCCCTCTTAGCTCCGAGGTCTGCATGCTGATTGAGGATCCCCAGTGGCATTTGGTCACTCACATGGACCTTAGTAATTGACCACACAAAATGACACTACCCTTCTTCCTAACAAAGGTTAATCTTTTAGCCTTTGTTTTACATCTGTCCTTTCCATCACTTCATGGCAAATAGATAGGGAAACAGTGGAAACCGTGGCTGACTTTATTTTTCTGGGCTCCAAAATCACTGNCCCTGATGCTGGGAAAAACTGAAGGCAGGAGAGGAAGGGGACGGCAGAGGATGAGATGGTTGGATGACATCATCGACTCAATGGACATGAGTTTGAGCAAGCTCTGGGTGTTGGTGATAGACAGGGAGGCCTGGCATGCTGTGGTTCATGGGGTTGCAAAGAGTCGGACACTACTGAGCGACTGAACAGAACTGAATTTCTAGCTCTTTGCACAAGAGATGATCACATCTCTTGCATGTGTTTTAGTGTCTGTGACTGCACTGTCACTCAGCTATGTACACACTCAGGTCTCTCCCATCCTAACAAACTATTCTACTGTGGATCTTCTTCTTTTTCTCCTTGTTGCTTCAGTCAAGGTTCTTGATTGCTGGCACCACATAACTGTTTCCTCATTTCTGCTTTACTGCTCAGTCTTTTCCTACCTGATACCTCTGAAATCACCAACGGCCTCCTCAATATGAGGCATGATGGACTGTTTAGCCTTTATCTGAGGACTTAAACACTGACCACTACTCTTTCTTTTCCCGTGGCCTTTCAGATGTTGTCCTTTTGTTTTTTTTTCCGACACACTGATTGCTCCTACCTCGTCTCCTTTGAGAGATAACTTTTCTGTTTTACTCCCATAAATATTGGTGTTGTCCAGTATTTTATCCTCAGTACTTCTTACTTCTTTATCCCTCAACAGAGTGATTTTTTTTTCAATCATTCATTCATTCATCAGCATGTGTTGAGTATATATATGTGGTAGGTACTGTGCTAAGTGCTAGGGAGACTGTGATGAACGAGATAGATACACTGTCTGCATAATAGGTCTTAGTCTACTTAGGGAAATATTAACAAAATAATTACTTGCCATGGCTTCAGTCCTCTTCTTTTTCTGATAATACTCAGATCTGTGTCTGCATTTTGATTGTTAGGTAAATGTTAGCCAGGACACCTGAAGTAATAAAAATCATTGGGATGGCAAAACACATGTGGTTACTTTGAGTTGTGGCATTTGATGAAGCAGAGTACTGGATCAGTCACTTAAAAATTTCATTTATTATTACCCCATGTTTTATACTGCCTATAGGGCCATAGCACAGGAAGAATGCTGTCTACAAATTTGAGATTCTCTTTTAGGCTCAGTGGCTAAGTCACTTTTGACTTAATTTTCTTCCAATGTTTGCTGTTAATTTTTAAAGAATATAGGAAAAAATGTATATGGGGATAGTTAGCTATCTTTATTTATAGTTAAAAATAGTAACACAATGGAAATGAATTGGGGTGACCATATTACCTCAGTCTTTCTGGAACATCCCGTTTATATGTTGTCTCGGCATAATATAGATAGCACCTCCTTTCACTTTCAAAATTGTCTCCATTTGAGTGGTAGATTATATGGTTACTATAAAACCATTTTTCAAAGAAAGTTTTTTTAATATTTGTTATTATGCCTGCTATTTTTTTAAATCCTAATTTTTCTTTACTACTTTACAGTCAGAGATTGACGGAATACAAATATTTCTGGACTAAGACTCTTTCATTACTTACTTTTACTAAAAGAGAGCTAAACAGTATTAAAAATGAAGTATATGATCATTTTAAAAACTGGACTTCACTGAAGAGAGAAATTTTTCTACAAATTAAATCAATAAGTGAAACAGCCTTGACAGGTTTGTTAAGTATATTTAAAATATAACCGTCCTTTTTTGGTAAATTGTACATCTAAGTAATGGAATAATGATATTTCATTTTATGTGATGGGAATTATGATTAATTTTAAACCCATTATTTCTTTCGATGACCATTTAAATCTATTCCAACCTTGAAATTCAATAATTATAGGCCTGATCTAAGATAAACTCTGATATGTCAGTCTTGAACAGTGGCTGGAAGTCTGGTTATTCCTGTTAAATGTACAAATTGTATTTTAAAATTTTTTCTTCTGTTAATGACTGATCAGATTAGATCTAATTAGATCAGATTTCCCACAGATAACAACTATAAATTTTGGACAAAATAGCTACTTGAGAACACTGAAGAGTGACCAAGCCTAAACACATGGAGGGAACATTAAAAAAATTGAAAGAAGGTCTGTTACTGTTTGAAAAAAGCCAATCTAAAAAAACCATACACTGGGTGATTCCAACTGTATGACATTCTGGAAAAGGCAAGACTGTGGAGATAATAAAGAGATCAGGGGTTGCCAGGCTAAGAGGGAAGGATGAATGGGTAGAGCATGGAGGGTTTTAGGGCGGTGAAACTATTTTGTATGCTGCTATAATGGTGGATATGTGTCTTTATAAATTTTGTCAAAACCCATAGAACTACATCACTGAGAGTGTACCCTTAATGTAAATTATAGATTTATGATAATGATGTGCCAGTGCAGGTTCATTAATTGTAAAAAAAAATGTACCACTCTGGGGCAGGATGTTGATGGTGGAGAAGCCATGCATATGTCAGGGGCAGAGAGTATATGGGAATTCTCTGTACTTTCTGCTTAATTTTGCTATGAACTTAAAACTGATCTAAAAAATATAATATTTTTTTAACTAAAAGAAGAGAATAGCACTGGTTGAATTCCTTGTTTGTTGTTGTTGTTTGTTTTGGTGTTTATTAAATGACTGTTAGATTGAGGGCAGTGTACAATCTAATCCATGCAGGGAAGCTAAAACTTTGATAAAATCTATTGTCTTTTTGGTTTGAAGACTTGTGGACAGCTATCAAGGCAGCCCTAGCTTTGAGAAGTGAGAGGATACCCTCAAAAAGAGATAGAAAGAGAGCTCAATTATTGCTTATAAATTCTTCCCAGATCTCTGGCTTATCCCTGAAATACACGTGCACAAAGAAGACTTTAAACAGCTCATCTAAGGTTAAACTGACATTACTGTGACCTACCCTAAGGGGAAACAGTCTTAAGTATTTGAGTGCAGCCAAGTTAACTACTTGTCAAGGCAAGACTTCTAGAGTGGGTTGTCATGCCTTCCTCCAGGGACTCTTCCTGACCCAAGGATCGAACCCACGTCTTCTGCATTGCAGGCAGATTCTTTACCTGCTGAGCCACTGGGGAAGCCCACTAAAACAAAGCAATACCAAAAACAAATAAAAATCACCTGTTGATGTGACCACTTCACTTTTGACAAGGCACCCAAACAATTCAATGGGAAGAGAAAGTCTTTCAACAAATTGTGCTGGAATAACTAAATACTGATGTGGGAAAATATGCTTTGACTCCTACATCACATTGTACATAAAAATTAATTCAGGATATATCAGAGCTAAAAATAAAAGCTAAAACATGGAACACCAAAATATCTTCATGAATTGATAGTAAATTAAGGTTTCTCAGAGAGGATAGAAGTAAGAACTACCAAAAAAATTGATTAATTAGACTTCATCAAAATTAAAAACTTCCACTCATCAATAGATGCCATTAGGAAAATGAATAGGTAAGTCTCAGACAGAAAATATTCAAAAAATCTGTGACAAAGGACTGCTATCCAGATTACATAAAGAACACTTACAAGTCAATAGAAAAAGGACATACAATCCAATCAAATATGCCTAAAAGATTTGAATAGAACCCTTTACAAGAAAAGATATACCAATGTCCAATAAGGACATGAAATGGCACTTAGCATTATGAGTCATAAGGGAAACGCAAATTGAAACCAGTGAGATACCCGTACAAACCCACTATAGACTTCTAGAGTGGGTTGTCATGCCTTCCTCCAGGGACTCTTCCTGACCCAAGGATCGAACCCACGTCTTCTGCATTGCAGGCAGATTCTTTACCTGCTGAGCCACTGGGGAAGCCCACTAAAACAAAGCAATACCAAAAACAAATAAAAATCACCTGTTGATGTGACCACTTCACTTTTGACAAGGCACCCAAACAATTCAATGGGAAGAGAAAGTCTTTCAACAAATTGTGCTGGAATAACTAAATACTGATGTGGGAAAATATGCTTTGACTCCTACATCACATTGTACATAAAAATTAATTCAGGATATATCAGAGCTAAAAATAAAAGCTAAAACATGGAACACCAAAATATCTTCATGAATTGATAGTAAATTAAGGTTTCTCAGAGAGGATAGAAGTAAGAACTACCAAAAAAATTGATTAATTAGACTTCATCAAAATTAAAAACTTCCACTCATCAATAGATGCCATTAGGAAAATGAATAGGTAAGTCTCAGACAGAAAATATTCAAAAAATCTGTGACAAAGGACTGCTATCCAGATTACATAAAGAACACTTACAAGTCAATAGAAAAAGGACATACAATCTAATCAAATATGCCTAAAAGATTTGAATAGAACCCTTTACAAGAAACGATATACCAATGTCCAATAAGGACATGAAATGGCACTTAGCATTATGAGTCATAAGGGAAACGCAAATTGAAACCAGTGAGATACCCGTACAAACCCACTAGGTTTAAGTGAAAAAGACTTGACAGCAGCAAATTTTGGTGACTAGGGCAACGGAAACTTTCATACAAATTGGTCAAAGTATAAAATGCTATAGTCACTTTGAAAAAAGGTCTGATAATTTTTTAATAAAACTAAAGATACATCTGTCTGATGACTCTGAAATTCTTCTCTTTGGAATTTATCGTGTCCTGCAAATGAAAGCATATGTTCATAAAAATATTAAGCAATTTTATTCAAGCTTTATTCAAAATAGCCTTAAATTGGTAAAAGCCTGAAAGTACATCACTAGAATGGATTATGTAAAAATAAACAACTGAACAAACAATGGAACATAGAATGAACTATAGTAATGCTGTAAACTGGATAAGCATCAGAAATATTACGCTGCCTGAAAGTAACCTTATACAAATAATTGCATATTGTAAGATTCCATTTATATGATGTTCTAGAATAGGCAAAACTAATCTACAGTGGGGAAAAAAGACAGAAGTAACACTAGTTATCTCAGAGGGGAAGATTAACTCAGAAGGGGTGTGAAGGCACTTTTTGTGGTGACAGTAATGCTTTCTATTTTGACAGAGGCTTGAGTTACATGATGGATGCATTCTTCAAAACTAATCTAATGATGTATTTGAGGTTTGTGCATTTCTTTGTAGGTAAAATTTGACTCAAAAATTACAAATCTATATTGAATGCTAATTAATAATGTGTTTAGGGAATCAAACATATTGACTTACCTTGAAATGCATAAAAATGTAAGGTGAATAGATGAGTAGTTATGTGATAAAGCAAATATAGTAAAATGTTAATTGAAGAATCTAGATATTGTGTATATTTGGTTCAATTCTTCCAACTTTTCTGTGTATTTTAATTTTTTTTTAGTTAATATTAGAGAAAAGAAAGCATCCTAACTGTATAACAACTTCAGCTAAATTTTATTATATGATATGTGCCTTTAGAGGTGAGTTGTGTATGACAATATAGTACTCCTAAATTTTTTACTTAATTTTGAGGATTAAATTTAGACAAATATAGGTAACTATTATAACAACCATGTTTTCAGCTAACAATTTTTAACATTTTACTTTTTAAAAAATATAATTGTTTATACTTTAATATGTATGAAAAAAGAAAAGTGAAAGTCACTCAGCTGTGTCCCACTCTTTGCCACCCCATGGAATATACAGTCCATGGATTCTCCAGGCCAAAATACTGGAGTGAGTAGCCTTTCCCTTCTCCAGGGGATCTTCCCGACCCAGGGATGGAACCCGGGTCTCCTGCATTGCAGGCGGATTCTTTACCAACTGAGCTGTCAGGGAAACCCAAGAATACTGGAGTGAGTAGCTTTTCCCTTCTCCAGGGGATCTTCCCGACCCAGGAATGGAACCAGGGTCTCCTGCATTGCAGGCAGATTCTTTATCAACTGAGCTGTCAGGGAAACCCAAATATTTAAAGGTAAATGGAGAATCTCATGGACAGAGGAGCCTAGTGGGCTACAGTCCATGGGGTTGCAAAGAGTTGGACACGACTGAAGCAACTTAGCACACACGCAGAAATCCTACCAGCAGGACTCTTGAGTCAGAGATTCAAAGTTCACATACTGACCCTACCACTTACAAAATCTCTGGACCTCAGTGTCATCATCTGTAAAATACGTATGCACACATACACCACAATATGCCTATGACAGTAAAAATCAAGATATGTCAGCTTCTATTATTTTATTCTTTTTATTCTAAAGTCTACATTCCTTCTGTTGTATTAGATTTTCACTTATCCTACAGAAATGTTCATTTGGTTGTCTTGTAGATTTTCTCCTAAATAATGAAACAAAATTAATGCTCTTCACCTATAGTTTAAATATATGTACATATATGTGGTGTACTATGTTTAGTCATGCAGTCATGTCCAATTCTTTGTGACCTCATGGACTGTAGCCCACCAGACTCCTGTCCATGGGGATTCTCCAGGCAAGAATACTGGAATGGGTTGTCATGCCCTCCTCCAGGGGATCTTCCCAACCCAGGTCTCCTGCATTGCAAGTGGATGCTTTACTTCTAAGCCACCAGGGAAGCCCATGTATATATATATTATATATATATATATAATATATATATACCTATCTCCAAAGAAAATGAAAACACTAGCTCCAAAATACATCTGTACACCCTTGTTCATACAATACATGCAAACATGTTCAATACGTACAAACAACCTACGTTTCTGTTA